ACATGCATGCACGCACTCACGCACACACACACACACACATACTGTACACACAAACACACAGATGCAAATATCACATTCACACATATCCACATGCATGCACGCACTCACGCACGCACACACACACACACATACTGTACACACAAACACACAGATGCAAATATCACATTCACACATATCCACATGCGTGCACGCATGCACGCACACACGCACGCACACACACACACACATACTGTACACACAAACACACAGATGCAAATATCACATTCACACATATCCACATGCATGCACGCACTCACGCACGCACACACACACACACACATACTGTACACACAAACACACAGATGCAAATATCACATTCACACATATCCACATGCATGCATGCACGCACGCACGCACACACACACACACACATACTGTACACACAAACACACAGCGACACATACACTAAAAAACAAACACACATACACATACAGAGAAAAATACACACAGACACACACACACACACACACACACACACACACATACACATACACACATACGCGTGTACACATACAAACAACACACACACATACAAACAAACAAACAGACACACACGCACGCACGCACGCACACACACACACACACACATACTGTACATAAAGTGTCCGGAAGTACCTCTGTTCATCGCCCAACAGGTCCAGATGATGCACTGCATCAAGCAGACGGAGTCGGAAGGGGGCGCTAGTGAGCTTGTGGACGCCTTCAACGCCGCCTACCAGCTGAAGCAGGAGAACCCGGACGCCTTCAAACTCCTCACGACAGTGAAGGTCAACTTCCACAGGATCGGGAAGGCCGAGCCCAAGCACCACATGAAGGAACGACACCATATCATCAGGTAGGAGCCTACATTTTTACCTTCTCTAAGAAGGTTATGTTTTCAGTGACGTTAGCACTGGAACTGCATGGGCTTAAAAATATTCAAAAGAGGGTAACTCTAAATCCGGTTGACGGATCATGATTTTTGGTATGTAGGCAGCTCAAGTGATGCTTGACATAATAATGGGACAATTATGCAAATATGGATGTAATTTGCATAATTTATGAGAAAATTCAATAAATCAGCTGATTCCATGGTAGGACTATTCAAGTCTGTGACATACGTCACATGTCACAACAAAAGAAACACACGCTGATATTGATTATGTAAGACTTGTGTAATTAATGAGAAAATGTTATAATTCCATAATTTCATACTTGCGGTATTTGAAAGTTGAAGGAAGATGAACATATTTAAACATAACTTATTCAAATAAGGACCTTATTTGCATACTTTATGAGGAAATGCGTGAATGACATTCTTTGTAAAAGTAAGACTGTCTTCTGGTGGAGACCTGTTTAACATATTAGGCAAATTGATATAGCAAATGTGTGGGGGGTTTTCTTACTAGTGTCTTGTCTTGTTTGAAAAAAAAACTAACAACGTGCAATATAATTGACTCAAATATAAAAGTTATTGGTCTTTTTGTTCCCTTCTTGTTTTCCTCTTGAGTTTTGAGCTTTGTTTCCATACATGTTTTTCTATCTGTATCGAATAGATATTAAAGTGGTGTGTTTGTGTTTAGCATTAGCGACAAAGGCGAGGTACAGAAGGTGGTGTGCGGGAAACACTCCCGTGATTCCGTGCTGGACGTGCCGCTGGACCAGGTCAAACCGTTCTATCGCGCCATGAGGGCGTTCGACGACATCCTGGCTCACCCCAGGAACTGCATCCGCTACAAGATGAAAGAAGGCGAGTCGAGCTTTTACCCTTATTACAATAAGTATTCTTAAAGATAATCCTTAGCATCGGGTTGAAGCTGTTTTGAGTAGAAGAGCCTAGTTTCTATACTTCTCTCCGCCCGTTGCTTGGCTCTGTGAGCATGTGACATGCTGGCGTTTGACAACCACCATCGGATTCTGCACCTTCTGCAAAACGAAAAACTAACTTCTTTAGCAAATACTGCCTTTGGTAAGGTCTAAGGATTCTTGACCCATGTTTTCCTGGTGACATATGACATGGCTGCTTAAGATAAGTCGTTATGGAAAATAAATGCGATACTCAAATACTGCTATTGACAAGGAATGTACTTACCCTTCTTTCCTTGATCCATGTTTTTCAAGCAGCATGCCATGACTTCTTTTTAGGTAGTGGATGATGAACCCTTCCCCGTCCCAAATTGTTTTCCAGGTGACATGCTCACCTGGAAAAAAGTGCCCGCGGCAACTTTGATGTCACCTAGCGTCTGAACGGCTAGCCGTAGAACGGCCAAACTTGGTGACTTTTCCTAGAATATGGTTGGCAACAATTCTCAATCATTGGAATAAGATAATAATTTTTTATGTTGCCATGGCAACGGGTTTCTGACAGGCATTTTTGGCTAAATTTAGTACTTTCTGTTTCAACAATAGAATTCTATTGGTTTTATGTCGTTACTCATGGTTTCTAATATTAATAACATCCCATATAATTTTATGTAAATTTTATCATAAATACGCATAATTTATGCTAATTTGATGACGTCATTGGCCAAAATCCAAGATGGCGGACCATATCATTAGAACAGGTATATACAGGTTATTTTCATTCAAATTTCATCAATACTTCCATTTCTTTTTCCAAAAAAGGGTTAAATGAAAGTCTTTAGTATGTTTACAATGTATTTTAGGCTTTATCATGAAAAAAAACTATTTTTGAAAATTCAAGATTGATGATCCAAGATGGCGGATATCTTAAATATGCATGACGTCATTTTATGACGTCACCGGTGTTGCTATGGGCAACATAAGACTTAGTACACCATAATATTCTGTCATAAAGACTTTTGGTACAGTTATGTTGAATACCATTTAGTTTTCAGGGAAAAAACCTATTAAGACGGTTTTGGCCCATAAAATCGCATTAATGACGTCATAATGACGTCATATTACGTGATAACGACATAAAAATTGTAGATATGATAAATTTTTACTAGTACACCATTCTCTGAAACTTTGGTGGTCATACGACATACCGTTCGCGAGTTCTTCGGGGGGGGGTCAAAAGAGCCCCCCCCCCGTCCCCCCATGTCAAAAAAAGCCCGGTCTAGGTAGGGTTAAGATTAGCTTCAGTTGTGAACAAAAACTAACTTCCTTAGCAAACAGTACCGTTTGCAAGACGGAATCTACTCTCCTTTCATAATTCCAGGTGACATGCTGGCCTTTGACAACCATCGCACACCTTTAGTATACCTTAAGATTGGCTTTTGTGAACAACAAAAAACAATACAATTGTCTAGAACGAATCTACTATCCTTTCGTAATTTCTTGACCCATGTTTTCCCTGTAATACGTTGGCGTTTGACAAGTACCGGATCCTTCATGACCGCACGGCGTTCAATTACGTGAGTATGGCTTATGGTTAGTTTTTATGAAAAAAAAAACGTTTTTAGCAAACAGTACCATTGACCAGAAGGAATCTAATCTTCATGTTTTCCAGGTGACATATTGGCGTTCGACAACCTCCGTGTCCTGCACGACCGCACGGCGTTCAGCCTGTCAGGCGGAGAGAGACACCTGCAGGTCGGGTATGTGGACTGGGACGAGACCTACTCTCGCATGCGCGTCCTCCAGGCCGAGTTGGGAATCCAGGAGTGACAAGCCAAGATTTTGTCTTACTTCCAGGGAGGATAAAATCCTTCCGCAGGAAGGCTCTGTTTTTGGTCGTCTTTGTGTGTTCACAACTATAACTCACGTTGCGTTTTGGTCGATCTGTCCGAATTTCGGTATATGGTTTTTTATTGATGTCCGGACGCCCGTCGATTTTGTGCATATGTATATATATGTAAGCTATTTACATTTCTCGAATCAAGTACCATAGATTTTAAGAGTCTCGATGTTGGAGACAGATTTGAATATATCTTTACATGTAACGGTCCCCACAACGCAAAAATAGGTAGATATATAAAGGAATGCTTTGCTATTAGAAAAAAATACCGAAACTTGTGATTAGCCCACTTGATTGTAACACTTTATCAACGACTTGTGATGTCCCTTATTATTTGAATGATTATGATATAGATATGTTAGGTTTTATTCGACATTAGGTCTTATTCAACACACTTATTTTATTGTTTTTACTCTCTTTATTTAGTTTGCCATACAATGTACCATGTGCATTTGTCGTGCAATAAAGTTCTTCTTCTTCTTCATGTATATTCCGGCAATAAAATAAAATGATTTGACATCCCAATATAGTATGTGGTGTCACGACACGGCGGTCATGTGGGGTTGTTACTCCGTGAAGGAGGTCAGGACCTCCGGACGGAGTGTTGTAATCGGCTGATTTTTCATGTTCGCAGTCAAAACACTGGGTTCTCTTTGTGTAATCGGCACGCAATTTTATACGCCGTCTGCGGGCATGCCCGTGTTGATGCACGAATGTGTATTTTTGCCGTTGCTGCTTTCGCGGTCAATGTAATATCGCAGACGCACCCCTACAATTACGAGGCGAATTGGAATGGTCCAGAAAAACGCGTTGTTTGGAATAGCAGTGGGGTTCAAAAAAGTTCATGCAGATACGGGGTGGTTTTTATAAGTGGTTCCAGATGTTTTTGCCCATGGTTAAGAGATGCCAAGTTTTTTGGAAGATGTTCGCAGCCAAAACGCATTCTTCCGTACGTCGCATTTCTGTGTAATTTCGCATGTGGTGTTGCATTATGTCCGGGATGATGCACGTCTTTTTATTTTTACCGTAGCTGTTTTGATATTGGAGTAAATGCTTATTTTCGAACATCCCCATTTCTTTGAAATGGTTTCGTCCATTTATGCAACTGTTACTGCGCTAATGCCGACCAGTCGCGCTGTCCTGATACACCGCGAATGTGCGAGTGTTCCCTGTAGACAGTCCCGGGAGTCATTTTTTTGCACATTCCAGGAGCCAAACCAAATACGTTCATGAACCGAGTCCAAAAACCGAAACGTGAAAATCGGATGATCGGACCTGATGTACATTTCTCTTTCTATAGATTGTACACACAATACACACATCTTTAGATAATCTGGCCATGGCAGGTTAAAAAAAAGTAACCCTGAATCATACTAAATTAGCGTAAATGCATGTTAATGCGTTCAAAACAAGAAAAAAATTGTTTCCGGGTATTAATCTCTTGAATCACGGCGCTGAATATTGACGCAAAAATATTTCGGGCATCGCGCGCCCTTCCCGCGTCACGTGTAGGCATCTCGCATCTCTGATTGGTTGTTGCGTCTTAAGATGACTGAGCCGACGCGCGTTTAAACAATTTTTCTTTGTTCGATTTATCACACTTCACAGAGAATTGTCGCCAATGGCTACTTCTTTTTGTTGCAATATATAATACTTCACGGAGAATTGTCGCCTATGGCTTCTTGTTATTAAGTTAGGAACAACAGGTAATATGTAGCTGCAGTCTGGAAAGTTTTTCTTGTCTCAAGCATACAGACGGATGCACTGTTTTCAATGTACCAAGAATAGAGAACTCCGCTGTCCGTAGATATTATTTGCTGCACTCTGATGCATTCAAAACATGGTTTTGTTATTGTATTCAGCATATTAGCGTGTCTGTCAGACAGGTTTTATCGTTACAACGTGCAGCATTTACTACTCTTATGTCCACCTCTCCGCTACCTTCCTGCATTGCTCAGACAGATCATCAAACTTCTAGGGTCATTTTGGGGACAACAAGGTTGCTGAAATTTTTTAAGCCCATTATCGAACTTCGCCTTCATGTCCTTACTCAAACACTAAATACCATTAACAATTATCCGCGTTTTCTCATTGACACGTTATGTTGTCACAAACAAAACCCAAAAAAATACAGAACTCTCGTCACAGGATATCCATTTTTAACATTGAACTTTGTTTCTATAAACGCTCCACACCTACCAAATATCATCATACACAGATCCATACACAGATTTTAGTTTTGGCTGCATACATACAATGGACAAATGCCCAAAAATCCCGCTGCAATTATATTGGGAAAGGCCAGGAGGACCATTTTTTAACTTAAACTACATTTTCACAACAGCTACCCACACACCAAAAATATAGAAAAATCAACCACAAATTTAAAAAAATCACACCACAGCCAAGCTGAATACATACTCTTCTGACGAAAAGAATATTAAGTTCTTCTAGATACTTACCAAGCTTATGGGAATTATCAAGGTTTACATGCATCGCCAACTTGAAGAAGATGAGCGAGACCGTTACGATTATAGAAAGTCAATTGAACAGTATCAACATAAAGTAATAGTGCCTCATAGCAGCTTACAAAGAAATTGCACCCAGGGAATTTTCAAGGTGATTTCAAGGGACAAACAAACAAACAGACATTATTATTTATTATCAATATTAATATTCAAAGAGCTAGATTCAGACAATCCACGCAACCAGATTGCGAAGGACGTATCGAGGCTTGGTTGTCGGACTCCAGCTACCAGACGTCACATCTGAGAGGTGCAGCTCATCGCCCAGACGGTGCCAACTGAAGATATTCTGACTGGCTTGTAAGGTAAGTTTTGAATATGGCCCCAGGTGAGTTGTAGTATTTTCTGTACATATACGAGAGAAGATGGAATAGTGGATAAATAACTACTCTATTGTACAAGAGACATCGGTTCTCATGCAAACCGTACGTTTTCTTGTATTTAAATGTAGTGGAAGAGACTGACACTGAGATGATGATGAAATGGTTTATTGAGAATAAAAATACTTAGGGATTTCATTCTCCCAAACCTCAAACATGAGGATGGGTCTGGGTACAGATGTATAAAATATATTTTTAAAAGATCAAAACAAATGACACGTTGGCAAAAGCACTAGATCAGAGAGTAAACAACCTGCGAAATGTGAATATTCAAACAGCCCAAACCAGACAATTAACAACTTGTCGATAAAGTGTTTATAAGTAACACTAAATATAAGATGTATGAGAGCTTTTAAATCTTGTTTATTTATGCATGTTCATTGAAGATAAAGATATATCTATATGGGTTGCACATACAGTACCATCTGAATATTACCATCATGTACAATTTGGGAGTATTTCTTGTGCAACGCGTCACACCGCAACAAAACGCAACAAATGCGGAAGTAACTACACCACCATAGGGCAAAAAAAAAAAGTCAAGGGTCTGTGACCTGGTTAAGATAAGAATTTCGAGCCCAATGCTTCTGGCCCTACACGTCTGCACCATATCGCATGAGAAATAAACATTTATCCATGATAATAAATTCTGCAGATAGCTAGGTTCAGACTCAGGGCAGAAAAATGTCCCAAACGACGTTGAGTTCATACTTGCTGCTAAACAGTATTAATTCACGAACGAGGAGTGCAGAGAAGCATTCTTTTTTCTTAAATTTTTTTCTGGCCGTATTTCTTCTGACGGTCTGTTTGAGAGAGAACTCACATACTCTAGAGAACTCTAGAAAGTCCCCATATCCAAGAGTCATCTCAAGAGACAATGAATTTGACATCGATGAAGTCACGATGATATTGTATGTGTTTGTGGTTTTGCATTGACAGAATTCGTGCTACCCACTGGCAGTGTACCTATCGAATCACTCAACATTCACCTTATTTAGGGTACGTAAGCATTTTGCATACAATGTATGGATTGATTGTAGTATGATGGCCCTATAAGCTATGTATTGAAGAGAATGAAGCCTCCTGTCTCTAATTGTCTTGTTGCCGTATTGTCTTCGGAAGGTCTGTCTGCCAATGTGTCTATATGTTTCTGAATAAAAAGGTTGGGTAAAGGGTGTGACGTCTGGCATCACTGATTGCCATTTTTTTAAATTCAATCCCTGCTGCTTTTTCTGTGCAGACTCCAGCACGACATGGGAAGAAAGCTGCGGCACCTGCTGATTTTCCTTCTCCTCATCCTGAAGGAGCCCAACATCTTAGAAGGAGGCTGTGGCTGTACACCATTATCAAGCTGCAGCTGCAAATGCCGTAACCTGGGCCTCACCAAGATCCCTCAGAACCTCCCAGCATGCATCAACCAGTTATTTTTAAAAGGTAACCAGATAACTAGTATTCCGCCTGGTGCATTCTCTGATCTATCCAAACTCGACTTGCTGGACCTTTCCTCCAACCAAATATCCAGCATTCAAGTTGATGTATTCTCAAATTTAACCCGGCTCAACTTGTTGGACCTTACCTTCAACCAAATATCCAGCATTCAGGTTGGAGCATTCTCAAATCTACCTTCCCTCGAAACTTTGCTCATGAGCTCAAACAAGCTAAGGAACATCCCCTCTGGTACGTTTTCGAATCTACCCAGGCTTCAAACGTTGTACCTGCATTCAAACCAGCTATCTGTCCTTCCCCTATCAGCGAAAGATATGTTGGCATCTATTCCTTATTTATATATAGAAGACAACCCCTGGCAGTGTGACTGTAAGATGGCTCCCTTTTGGCAAAAACTGATTGAAACTCCTGCGGTTCTAAAACAGATAACATGTGCCCAACCTGGAAACCTCTCAGGACAAAAACTAAAAGATGTCAGTCCCAAAAATCTGTTCCATAATTGCCCAACCAAATTGACACCAACTGTCGATGCCCAAAACACCTTCAGCTCATCTGCATTGCCAACATCTTCATTTGGCAACACAGAAAACAATGTAAGCCCAACAGCACATCCTGTAGGCTCCACATTTGCCACATTGCCTGTTGCTACCCAATTGCAAAGTGCTAACACCTGTTACAATGGTACCACCACCACTCACTATGACTGGTACTTCAAATGCAATGTACATGTAGAGTCGACAGTTG